TTTGGGACTGGGCTCTGACACGTTTTCTTTACGTGGATTTCGGGGTGGATTTGTCTCTTATTTCGGGGTTGATTTGTCGCTTATTTGGGGGTGGATTTGACCCTTATCTTTGGGGATTTGTCTCTTATTTCGGGGTGGATTTGTCTCTTATTTGGGGGTGGATTTGACCCTTATCTTCGGGGATTTGTCTCTTATTTCGGGGTTGGATTTGTCTCTTATTTTGGGGTGGGTTTGTCACTTATTTCCGGAGATTTGACTTAGGGCTGGCAAGGCTTATCAAATAAGTTCACATAAGGTCGAAGTCTAAGGCTCAGACGGTTCCATCGCTCCAATGTTTCGCTCGGCCCATCGAGACGTAGCTCCAGATCAGCAGCCGACTCGAACCCAGCAGAGCCCCAGAGCCCGTTTGAAACATCTAAGTGAAGTGATGTAGCCTATGCCTAAGCTGCCTATTCATTCATTCATTCATTCGAGTCCGCCGTCCGACATTGCCAAGGCCAGTGCCGATACTATACGGTACATGGCTATCCCCACGTAACCCAAAAGCAGGCAAAAATCGGACCTTTGATCCGACACCTGCTCCGAAACCTAGTGTTTACTTGCCTTTGATCATTGTCAAGGCTCGCTGCCTCAAACTTTTGTCCAAAGGAAGCTCCCCCACTTTCACGAGATTGTAGCACCGATTCACTAATCCAACTCTCGTCTCTCCTGCTAGAAGATCTCGAGTGAGGGCTTGCGCCATGGTAACATTCATCTGAAACTCGGTGAGGTTCACCAAGCTCGGGTTCTCATCATTGGCATCGACTCTCTGAAAGAATTGGGCGTCTTGCTGAACAGCTGTTGCCAGCTGATGACATTCCTGAGTCATTGCTGCTTCGTTGCCCTCTGTAGCGAGGGGAAACGAACGAATGCCTTTCACCCATATGCCCGTAGACGTCAGAAAGTCCTTTGCCTTCGGGGCAAAGATTGCCAATAACTGAACTTTCTCATCTTTGAAGAGAGACTGGATGGACTGCTTGTTGAGGGGGTCGGCCTGGAAAAGAGCACGGACCTCAAACCGGGAGCGAACATTACTGAACATGTCCTTGCCACTTGACATCATCTCCTCCAAATCCGCACGGCCCACGGACAGCATCTGCTGGAAGGAAGCCTTGATGTGGGCCAGGAGCTTCTTGTAGTAGTTCAGAATCGTGCCGTGCTCCATGTTGTCATCCTTGGTCAAGGTATTCGAGATGGCTTGGTATTGCGCCAAGGCCGCCTGCAACTTCTCGAAGCCGCCCACCGCTGTTGCCAGCACACCGGCCTTGGTTTCGAAAACGAACTGTGCATTCTTCTCTTGCAGGGCCTTCTTGTAGTCCAACAACATCCCCGAAAAGGCCTTGCAAGCTTCGGCTCGTGTAAGGAGGTTCTGGAAGATTTTGGCATGCCTCGTCATCTGGCCCAACACTCCACAGAGACACAAGAATGAGCAATGCACCCTCACAATCGCCTGGTCCTTGGACTCATCGGCAGGCCGGGGCATCTGAACCAGTGCATCCTTGCCCTTAAGGACGGCAGCGAAGCTCATGTAGATGAAGCTGAAGTCCACGTCACTCCCATCAGCAGGCGCAGCTGCGGGGAGGTCTCGCACGATGTCCTCAAAGTTGGCCTCAGGGTCGAGGACCTGTGCAGCGAACTTGGCAAAGTCGCCGCAGCTTGCTGTCACCCAATCCTTCGCAGCCTTCTCAAGAAAGGAAGTCAAGTTGTTCAACCCGACATGGATCCATGGAGCCACGGTCTTAACCTTGTTGATCAGGCCGTTGTCGTGCAAAGAAGCATAAAGGTCAATGATCTCCTTGGCCATGATCTCCCCTTCCATGACAGAGACCTGACTGATCTTGACCACCTGGGAAAATGCAGCAGCAAACTGCTTGAAGAAAGCAAAGGCAGGCGCAACGATGTCCTCCAACTGCTGAGCACCGTCCTTGCCCAACAACTTGATCAATGGAACTTTATGGAGAGGTTGCAAGGCCTCCAAGCCGGACAGCAGCCGGCCACACTCCAATGCTTCGGCATCTTTGAACCCGCCCTCGCCCAACTTTGCGATCAACGCCTCCATCCGCTGGAACTGGTTGGTCTTGTAGGCCACCACGGACAAGAAACCCGTCTTGAGCTCCTGGATCTTGCTCTCGACGATCTCAAGCTCCGCTTTGTGCTTCGTCTTGAAGGGAATGGAAGCTCCATCGACAGCGGCCTGCCATTTTGCCACCATGTCGACGATCTTGGCCTGGGAGGGGATCGCCAACTCCATCTCGCCTTGCTTATCCTTGAGAAGAGAGTCCACATTCATGACCTTCAGCTCGCCAGCTATCTGAACTGCAAGCCCCACATCGATCTGGAAGAGCATATCGGCCTTGAATTGATGGATCCGCTTCTGAGCCAAGTCTGACAAGAAGATCCCAATCGGAAACAAGGTGAGGCCTTTGTTGAAAGGGCCTTGCTTATTCTTGAGAAGATTTGTCCGAGCCGTCTGCAAGATCTCGCAGCTGTCTTCGTCGAGGGCATCGTCGGACATAGTCAACTGGACAAGCGACTCGAAGCGCTCAAGGTCGATCTTCAAGTTGGCATTGGAGTCGCAGACGTTGGCGATCGGCGACTTCTTGAACTCAGCGAGGAATTTGACGAGGCGATTGACAGCTGCTTTCGCATCCGGGACTGATGATATCCCAGCACCGGCATCAGAAGATGAAGAAACCTCCTCCGACGAATTGGCCCCTGTGGCTTTGACACTCAGCAACAGGTTGTTCAAGGTTTGCACGACTGCACCCACCTGAAAGTCCAATATTGGAGCCATGGTGTCGGGCTCTGTTGGCTTCATGCTGTCGTCCATCAGGGAACCGACGCCCGTGGGGAACTTGTCCTTCATGGCTGGATCAAGGTACTGCATGAAAGTGTGGAAGTTGTCATCGCTAGCAAAGGCCGCCAGCTCCTTCCGGGCAAGCACGCAATTCACCTGCTGGGGCAGCGAAACTCCAACATCTCGAAGAGCTTGGGCCCTCGCTGCCAAAGTCGATGCTGCAGCCTCATCGTCATGGAAGGCCTCGATGAAATTGGCTGCATGCTCAACCAAAGCCAGCTTCTCTTGCAAACTCTTCCAGACATTGGCCGCTCTGGAATTTGGCCCCTGACTCATCACAGCCTCTGAGTACAAGGCCTTCATTTCCTGCGAGAAAGACACCACACCACTCAGGTACAAGGAGTTCCGAACTGAATTTGCTTAATGCACCAAGCAGAAGGAGCTAAAGGGATTGAAAAAAAGGTCGGGCGGGGTGTGGTAGGTGGAGTTTTGGAGGTTGGACCCAAATCTGAACAACATCAACACTTCCTCCGAGAGCCGATTGTGGATCTTCTCCAACAGCTGGTTCGTCTTGTTCAAAGCGACAGTCATCACGGTCTCGGCACTCTCGAGTGAAGCCTGAAGCTGCTGAGCAGCGAGAATCACGGATTCGCTCTTCTCCAGCTCTTTGTTCTCGGCCGTCTTCTTCTTGCTTGTGGCTTTGGCTGGATTCTGGACCCATTGCATAAGATCACCACCAGGACCACCAGCATTGGAAGCAGCATCAGAAAGCGGCGGTTGGCTTGACAGCCCAGATGGGAAGGAGGCATCTGGCACGACTTTGGACTTGGACTTTCGTCTTTTGTTGGCACCACCGCTGCCACTGCCACGTCTGGGTCTAGCAGCGCCATTGTTGACGGAAGCCGCCTCATCGTCCGAATCCGCAGGCTGAGGAGCTCGACTGCTGCTGCTTGGCGGCCCCGATCCCCAAAGAATGCTGGCCAGGTCCTCTTCCATGTTGGAGCTCTTGCCCGGCATCTTCAACATCGCCTCGTCCTCGGGATTCTCAGTTCGC